ACTGGGTGCAGCCTGGGCTGGTGGGACCGCAGACCCGAGGGTCCTCCGGGACGGGCGCGGCACCTGCTTTTCTCCCCAGTGGCCACCTCCGTGGTGGCCTCAGTGCCAGGAACAGGATCTAGGACAGAGCAGGGGTCTCCTCACGTAATTTTCCTAAGTGACCACAAACTGGGCCATTCGAAGGACGGAATCCATTCTCTCCCTATTCTGGAGGCCGGAGTCCAAAGTCAGCTCTCCAGACCGAAATGCAGGGGTCCCAGGGCCAAGCCCCCTGCCAGCCTCGGGGGGCTCCCTCGTGCCTCCTCCATCCCTCCCCCACGGGCCCGCCCCTTCCCTCCTGTCCCAGGGACACCTGTGTTTGGGCTGAGGCTCACCCTAATTCGGGTGAGTTGTCCCTCCCTGACCCCCACGGAGACCCTTCTTCCAAACAAGGCTGCGTTCACAGGCTCCAGGGCTGGGATGCGGACCTGGACCTATGGTATTTTGGAGGAACACCATTCAGCCCAGCCCCCACAGGAATCAGTAAATGTTTGTTGCCTGAGTGACAATAGCCTATACTGCCCTCATTCCTGCCCTGAACTCTCCCCAGAGGGAGGCCCCTCTCCACCCCTCCCTCCAGGAGAACCCCACGCCTCCCACCGCCTTCAGGCCTGCACTCCAAAATGACTTTCTCTGAGACCCGTCTGTTTCAAAAAGCGCTCCAACATTCCCTCCATGACACTGAGCCTGGGGTGCCCTCAAAATGGGGGTGCTCGCCTACACGGGTGAAGGAAGGAAGGAGCCCTCAGGAGTGAGCTGGGGGTTTACAGAGCAGAGAAAGGGCACCAAGCCCAGCTGGGCCGCCCAGGCAGAGTGGGGCGAGGGCAGCGCCCGCCCTGGGGGTGCAGCGGGGTCAGACGCTAACTGGCAGAGCTGTCAGGAGCTCAGGCAGGACAGCAGGGGGAGGGTCTTGGGGAAAGCCAGCACAGGCAGGGGTGCGGGTGGGCTGCACTGCAGTGAGGGAGAGGAGGCTGTGAGGGATGGTGCTGGGTATGGCAGGTGGGGGCAGCTGGGGAGGGCATGGCTTGCCCAGAGCTGGGAGGAAAGGGGACTTTGAGTCCAGCACCCAAGGACCCCAGGAGGGGAGCCAGGCAGGGCTCTGTGGACCTTCGGGGGCAGAGTGTGCACGAGGCTGGGGAGAGAAACGCCCAGACCTGGTCTCCAGGGTGGGGAGACCTGGGTGGAGGGGGGTCCATTGCAGGTTGTGCCATACTGCTGGGGCCCCCTCCCGGAGCCCCCAGCCTCACCACTATCGGCCTCAGTCTGCCCGAAGATGGGCACGGTGTCCCTATCCAACTGGCTCTTTCCCTCACCCTCGGACGCGGACCCTGCCTCCTCCAGGCAGCCCCCCCAGTCACCCTGCTTGGAGTTTTCAGTGCAGCGAGCGTGGGCAACATGGCCAGGACCCGAGACGACACCACCCAGGCTCTCAGAGGCCTAGCTTCGAGCCTGTTGTGGCCAGCACCAGGCCAGGAAACAGAAAATATTAGAAATAGAAAGAAAGATGGGGTTCAGGGTGGGAGGCCTTCCTCCCACCCAGAGAGAGCTCTGGGCCTGCCACTGAATGCCGCCCAGCCCACCACCCCTCTACCCACCACGGTGCCCCTGCAGACCCGGGGCCTGCGCGGCAGGGCGGGGAAGCAGTCAGCTCAAGCTTCAAGCCTCACAAAGGCCAGCCTGGGGACCCTAAACTTCAGCTCAGAGGGCAGAGCATTGGGGGGGTGCAGGGCTGAGGAACGGAGGGGCTTTCTGCCGTAGCCTCCATCTGAGGAGGCTGAGCATGTCTGTGTGCAACCAGGCAGCAGGTGACACGAATTCCCATCTCTAGCCATAGCTAGTTTCCAGAACCTTCCCGAACCTGGTGGGCCCCCAGCACCCACCCCTGTCCCTGGGATTGGCAGTGAAGGTGCTTCACTTGTCCTGGAAACCATGTCCCGGGGGCCCCTGCTGCCACAGGGCACCCCAGTGTTTGAGGACTTGGTGCCTGAGATTGTCCCAGAGCCGCTGGCCCCAAGCAGGTGGCCGCGGTCACTGCTGAGAGGGTGCAGGCTCTTGGGCTGTCCTCCCTGGCCACGCGTCCCCTGAGGCAGCAGAGCCCGAAACCCCAGGCACCCCCATCCCCCCACCTGACCCCACAGGCACGTGAAAGAGCAGAGGACTCGGAACCAGGTAAATTTGAATGCTTTATTGGGATTGCGAGCGATAAATGTTAAAGACAAAACCCAAGCAATGAATTTTGCCAGAAATATCAGCATGTTAAAGGGGTCGAGTGGAGGCCCGCACGGCCACTGCCAGATGGACCACAACAGTGGGTGAGGTGACATTCGGTGCGGGGCACGTGGGGGGTCTTCAGGCGATGGTGGGGGGGACCCAAGAGGAGGTCCCGCTGAAGACAGTTGAGGGGGGAGAGAAAATGGACGGCCACAGTTGGGGCTCGGGAAGTCAGATGGGGGCCCGGGTCGGGATGGTTGGGGACCCTGCAGGAGCTGCTTGCTGGGGGACACAGGGGAGCGTCGGCAGACGGTCCTGGAGAGCCCACCCCACGAGAGGCAGAAGGTAACACTGGGTGGGATGGGCGTCCGGCAGGATGGGCAGGAAATTTGGGGTGCCTCCGAGTCTTTTTGGATCTCAGGCCAATCTGTCCGCGTCCCAATTACAACAATTTGGCTCGTTTCAGCTCTGTCCAATGTTCCGAATGGCCCATTCCTGGGACGCCTGCCGAAGGCCCCTCTGAGCCGCTGTTGGGCTGACATGTACCGCCCCCAGGGTCATGCCAGCCCCGCTACTGGGGCCCAGAAGCCTCGGGCCTCTAGAATGCTAGTCAGGCTGTCGTGCAGGGGGGCTGAGCTGGGGGCAAAAGCGGGGGTGAGGTAAACCTCCCAGCCGCCCAGATCCCTGCCACAGCCCTAGGCGCCGAGATGGTGGCTGGTTCGGTACCGCCAGACCCTTGGGCCTCGGGGCCCGAGCAACCCCCGTCGACAGACCGCCGTCGCAGCTCTCCCGCTCTGCGGGGCCTGCACCCTCCTGACCTCCCCGACTCCCCGACCTCACCCTGCCTGGACCCCCGGAAGCCCTGCAGAGCTCTGAGCCTCCTGGGGACAAGACAGGGTGCTGAGCAGGCGGGCAAGCTGTCACCGAGGGGCGAGGGGAGGGCCCCCCAAGTGCACGGAAGGCGACCACCTGCTCCAGCCCGATGGAGCCCAACTCACACACCTGCAGCCCCTTCCCCCCCAGCCAGCCGGGGCCGGCCGGGGACCCCTTCCTGATGGCCTCCGAGCACCTTCCGGACACTGAGGAGACGCCTCCCCACCCCCTCCTCCGCCCCTCAGGACCTCTGGGGACCAGCCACTGTCCCCAAAGGCCAGGCCGGGCAGCGGCCCACTCCTTTCCCTCAGGCTTCTCCGTGGGGCCCAGTGGCCAGCGCCCCACGGAGGCCCCACTCTCGACTCAACCCAAGCGACAGGGACAGATAAAAACAAAAACCAAATCGGGACGATAAATGGCAGAGAGCAGGACGTGCGGCTTGGCCGCGGCGGCCGTGGTGGTGGCGGCTTGTGTGGCACTACTTTGTCTCTGCTCCCCTGTTACGTGGGACGGGAGTACGTTTAATTTGATGTGTGAGCGCGTAAAAAGCTAAGGAGGGATCAAAAAAAAAAAAAGGAAAAAAGCCCCAGGAGATACCAATTAAAGGGGGGGAATAGATCAATTGGCGTAAATTTGGGTTCCTCATTGGGTCTGTAATTCTGCGCTGTGACTCCTGACTATCGTCCTCCAAACCTCGTGGGACCACTTCCTCCTGCCGAGCATCCCCCCACCCAGCCCCCACTGCCCCCCACCCGCCCCTCCAACCGCCAGACTTCCCACACTCCCCACCATCGTTGCCGACCTCCTGGGGGGCCCTCATTTCTGAGAGCCCCCAGAAAGCCGGCAAGGATGGTCCCTAGGTGTGCTGGGGGTCCCAGATGTTCCTCAAAGGAGCACACCTAGGGGGTCAGGCTCCGGGGTAGGGCACGTCTTGGTCTCTGCTCGGCTACAGCCGCCTCTAGCCAGGCCAAACCCAGTCCTCGCTCTGCATGATGGTGGGGGCACAGATGCTGGTGGGGCCTGGGGGTACCGGCTCACCCCGCGGGGACCGTGGGAAATGCCACTTCCCGCACCGAAGATGGACCGCCCCTCTCCCACCCAAGGAGCATATCCCAGGAGTCAGGAGGGGAGCACAGGACATGAAAACCTCACCAATGAGCAGGTCAGAGAAAGGTCTGTGACAGAACACAGACTGCACAGTGCCGGGCTCACCCATCTGCGTTCATGTGTGCATGCGTGAGGGTTTGCGTGTGCATATGTGTGGAAGCGTGTGTGCGTGTGTGCATGTGAGCGTGTGTGCATCTATGCGTGAGCGTGTGTGAGGTTGTGTGTGTGTGCATGTGTGTGCATGCGTGTAGGGATGTCTGCAGGGGTGCCTGCGGGTGTGGGTGTTTTTTAGGGTGGAAATTAAGATGTCAAATTTGAGGGCATGTGGATTTTGGAGGATGGATTTTAGGGTGTCTGGGGATCTGTGCCAATAAAGTTGATTTTCACAAATTTCGGCGTTCATGTTCTGTTCTCCCCTCCTTCGGTCTCCCCGGGAACCCCCTCTAGCTCCATGGTGACTTTGGGGATGGGAAGCAGAGCGAGGAACGAGTCTGGGCTTTGCTGGTTTGAGGACGCCCAATTCTCCCCACGGCGCGACCGGAGTTCGGCCTGAGGAGGCGGGAGCCAGCTGCGGACCAGGACGTGCCCACCTGCAGATCTGGGGTCCCCTCCTTTCTCCTGGAGGGGATGCCTGAGTCACGGCCAATCTGACTCAAGGTCCCTGGGAAGAGAAGGAGGGGGGGGGCCTAATTCTTTCACGATTGTTTGTAAGCCAATTCGGTTCTGGTATTTTTTTTTTTTTTTTTTGTAGCCAATTGATAATTTTAGGGTTTTTTTTTTAAGCTAATTAACATTCCTGGTGTTTCTAAAAAGCCAATTCGTTTTAAGGGGACTAACGTGTGTGTACGAGGGAGGGAGAGTTAGGGGTTCGTAGTTTCGGTTTTCCGGTTACACAATTTGCGGATAATTTGGGGGTAATTTGGGGGGATGTTTAAAGCCAATTGAGTTTGCACATTTCTAGAGATGTTGCTAGAGTCTCCTCAGCCCGATGGAGAGGGCCAAGGAGAGAAGAGCCTGACATGGGGAGGTTGGGGCGCGGGGGCCGGGGCTGGGGGAGCCCGCAGAGGGAATGCGATCCCGAGAGGGGTCAGAGGCGGGGCCTGGTGGAACGGCCCCTGGCCAGGAGGAGGGCACTAGGTGGACGGTGCCATCTTGCAGAATTACGCGACATTTTGGCTCACTTCTGATTGCCGGAGGCCTCCGGAGAGGCGCCCCCGTGGGCAGCGGGGTCGTGGGTGGGCAGGGCGATCAGCGGACGATGACGCTTGGCCTCTCTGAACGCCTCGAGCTCCTTGGCGAGCATGCGACCCCGGCGGGCGCGCAGGAGGGCAGGCAGGCCCCTGCGCAGTCGTTGGGCGGACTGCTTCCAGGTGTCATATTGGAAGAACTTGCCCACGGGGTATCTGGGGAAGTTGTCCTGAAGGAGGAAGGGGCCAGTCAGGGGGCGCACAGCTTGTGGGGGGCCCCATGGGGCTCAACGCCCACCCTCCGGTGGGTGTCCACCGGCCGCGCTGCGGGCCCTGGTCCCCCAACGCCAAGGAGACACCCTGCACCCCGAGGCCGGGCCCCCTCTTACCGGAAGCACGGTCGGAGGGGTCGACACGTCCCTCTCGGACTTGGCGGGGGTGGCACAGTAGGTCTCCAGAAGGGCCAGGTCACAACTGCGGAAACAGCATTCTTCCACAATGCCACGGCTGCTGCGGCGGCTCACGCGACTTGCCGGCCTGCCTGGAAGTCCCGCAGGGGGAAGGAGAGCTGCACTTGAGCACCGGCCCACACAGTCCCCACGCCCGGAGCTGGCCTCTGGCCGGTGGCCACCCCGGAGAGGGGGCAGGAGAGGAGGAGAACCAGCCGGCCAGCCGGCCTCGTGGAGGAAGGGGGAGCGAGCGGGCAGGCGGGGTGCCCAGGAAGGACAGGAGTGGAAGTGGGGATGCGTGTGCTCCAGGACCAGCCCCTGGCCTCTTGCTGCCTCCCTGCTCGCGTGGAAGGTGGACACAACCTCCTGGTCCCACTGCCCAGGGAGGCGGGGAAAATGTGCCGGTGTGAGCCCGGCTCAGGGGGCCGCCCACAAGGGGTCCAGCCCCCATGCTGGGGGGCACAGGGTCCCGTCTCGGAGGCCAGGCTGGGACGCAAGTGCCACCCCCCAACAGAGCAGGAGCCTGGGCGGCCCGCAGCCCTCGAGACGCCGAGACGCCGCAGGCTTGGGAGAAGAAGAGGAAGACGGGAGGGGAGGAGTGAGGACCTACATGAAACCACGTCCTCCTTTCCTCCCGTCCTCCCCGTCCCTCCGCTGCTCAGGCTCCAAGGTCGGCTGCGAGGAAGAGTCGGAGGGCAGGCGCCCTGGGGAGGAGGTCCCACAGGCGGGGGCTAGGCCCGGCCCTCCCAGCAGGGGACCCACTCCCTGGGCACCAGACCCTCCTGCCCCCAAACAAGGCAGGCGCGAGAAAGGGCACAGCTGAGGCCAGGGCGGGCAAGGAGAGAGCAGGAGAACTTTGCAGAGAGAAGCACTGAGATCCCCAGGCTGGCATCTGTGGGTAAGTAGAGACTCCAGGGGGGAGGCCCCGTGAGGAGGGCTGGGTCTGACCAACTCACCCCAGTCACACGCCCCACCCCCACCCCACCTTCAGGGTCGGCCTGGGCCTGTTCCCAGCGTCGGTCCCATTATCCGCATGAGCACTCCCCCGTCCCATCCTATAGATGAGAAACGGAGGCCCAGCTTTCTGGGGGGCGAGGGCAAGGACCCACACCCCTGAGGGAGGGGCCACCTCCAACCGGGGGTCCCACAGAGAGACGGGCAAGGAGAAGCAGAGGCGTCAGGGAAAGCCTGCGGGGTGGGGGGGGCCGTTGAAAATCAAGAGAGAAGCAGGAGGAACAGCCCAAGAGCCCTTGGGCCAGCAGGCGGGCACCACACATGGTGGTCCGGACCTCAGGTCCATGTCCCTTCCCTCAGTGCCACTGCGTGGGCAGGCTCTCCTCTCCTCCCCCTTGTGCCCAGGGGGAGCTGAGCTCCCCCAGCCTGTGGGACATGCCACACACGCTTCTGTGTTCACTGGTCTCATTTTATCTAACTTTAAATCAGATAGTCCCACTGTCAAAATGTCAGGCACCATGGAAAGGTCGGGGAGGGGGGACTTCAGTGCTCACGGCACTGCCCGCAAGCCCTCCTCCCTGCTGGGGCCTGCCCCCTGCCCCACCCCATCCAGCCCACCCTGCCAGGCTCTGGCCCCCCACGCAGACACCACCCTTTCTGGGAGGAGAGTGTTCTACTTTGAGTCATGCTGCGGGAAAATCAGGGGACATGAGCGCTACCCAGGCACACAGCAGGTGCCCAATAAATGTGGACGCAGTTGGGCTCATGAAGTCTCAGAGCAAGAGAGCTTGGGGTCGACCCTCAGCAGTGGCTTCCCTCTGCCTGGTCTCTCCCACGCCAGGCATCCTGGAGGGTGTCCATGGGCATCTAGGAAATGCTGCGGAGGACTCCAGCGTTTACGGAGCACCTGCTGTATGTGCCCTCCCCCTTGCCCCACCGCACGCTGAGCTACTTACTGAAGTAAAAGCCGCGGTCCCCACAGACAAACTGGAGGGTGTCCACCAGCTCCCCGCCGCACAGGGTCTCACTGGGGCGGTAAGCAGCAAAGCAGCACGAGGCCAAGGCCAAGAAGGTCAGCAGCACCAGCATCGACTTCCCCATCGGGACCCCCATCGGCATCTGGGGGCAGAGAGAAGAGGCCTGAGCCCACCCGCCCTGCCTGCCCTTGCCTCCCGCCGCCCCCCCATGGAGACACCAGCCTAGCCATCTCGTGATTCCCAGGTCCATTTAGCTCGGCTTAGGTCCTCAACATGACCGCTTTAATTACAGAAATCACACGTGCTCTCCCTGCCCAAGGCGGGGTGCGCAGCAGCCCCAAGGTCCAGTGCACGTGTGTGAAGCCCATCTCTGATAGGCACCAAGTGCTGGCCAGCAATTTCACGTGGGGGTGATCCTCCCTATGTCATCACGGCAGGGGCTCGGCCACACCCGGAGCTGCAGGGGCCAGTGCTGGACACTGAACCTGGCTTCTGTCCTATGAAGTCATGGGGGCGGGGCCAGCACAGGGCAGTGGCCACTCCTTGGACCTCCCAGCATCAGCCAAGATGGCAGACAGCCCCACCCCCCCACAGAGCATGTGCATCCCAGAGGGCCGCTCCCCCAACAAGCAGCAGGGGGTCCTGCGGGGGTGGGGAGAGTGCAGTCCCACCCCTCCCCCCTCCCCCACCCTCCCAGTCTGTGGCTGAGCAAACCTCAGGTCAAGGATCCCTGGTTACCCTGGGTGCCAACCACATTCCCAGGGGACTTGTTCTCCTAAATGGCTCAGTCTCCCCTCCAGGCTGCCCTGGACACCCCAAAACAAAGGCTAAAAGCCCCCACTGCAGGGCTGGCATCACACCACCCAGGGCCTCGAGGTCCCTCGGGATCACCAGACCCTCTCCCCACTGGGGTACCAAACCCCACCCTAGGAGCCAGAGGGAACAGGTCAGGCCACCTGGAGGCTGGACACTAGGTCCTCCGGGCCCAATCTGGAAGGACACACCCCCTGCCCCGGGCTGTGCAGCTGCAGGACCCGGGCAAGGGTTAACCAGGTCCTTTCAGGGTTGGGGGCTCAGGAAGGACCTCAGGCTCTCTCAGATACTCAGTTAGCGGCCCCTGCTCCCTCCGGAAAGTGGAAACGCCTCCACCTCCAGGCAGGCGGCCCCAGCCTGCCCTCCACTGGCCCAGGTACAAACCCCTTCTGGGGCGAGAGTCACGGCCCAGAGCCTTTGAGGCCACCCACACCTGATGCTACCCATGCCCTGGGACAGGCAGCCTGCCCACAGGCGCCCTTCCCAGGCCCCACACCAGTGGGCGCAGGGGTCCCGGCAGCACGGCCCTTCCCAGCCCGTACCTGGCTGTGGCGTGCTAGGCCCAGGGAGCTTCTGATGCCTTAAATCGTGCAGGAGAGGAGGGGGATAAGGAGGGAGTGCGATCCCGCTGAAACTCGGGAAGACCAGTGGCCAGATCCCCATTAGGACCTGGAGTGCCAGCCTGCTCACCTCCCCCTGCCCTGGCCTGGCCCCAGCCAGGCTCCCAGGCTGCCCCCACTGCTGCCCCCTTCCAAATTCTAAGAACAATTTGGCCAGCTAGCGACTGGGCGCCGGCCGAGCGGCAGCTGCGTCCTTCCGCAAGCCTGGCCACTCCAGTGCGGGGTCGGTCCAGAGCACCCACGGAGAGCCCAGGCCCGACCACGAGAGAGGCAGGAGAGAGGCAGGAGAGGCACGAGGCAGGCAGAACTATGGGCCAGGTAAGCAAGCCCGGGAGGAGGGACGGTAGGGGTGAGGAGGGTAGAAGCAGGGAGGAGGAGTGGAGGGGCTGAGGCCCAGGGGCCATCAGCAGGCGGGCAGGCCGGAGCCGGAGGGCAGAGGGGTCCTCGGCTCAACAGCCCTGGTTACCTGCAGCTGGACAGGAGGCTTGCTGGGACTGGAGGAGGAGGAGGAGGAGGAGGAGGAAGCTGGAAGGCTGCCTCACAGGAGAAGCCAATGTCCAGTTTGCAGGCTGGTCAGTGCTCCGGCTTTTATGTCTGAGCCGGCTCCTCCCCGCCTGGGCTCCACCCTACCCCCCACCCCTCTCCCTGCTGACCACTCCCCCCGCCCCCTTTGCTCCCGCCCCCTTCGTCCTCCCAGCCAGTCCCATCCCTCCTGCACCCCCAACAGCTAGCCCTGGACCATCCCTCCGCGAAGTGCCCTGGGGTGGGGGTGGGGGCTCATCCTGCACCCCCAGCCCATCTAGGCACAAGGCAATGTCGGGGGGGGGCGGGGAGATTAGGGAGGGGGGCTGCTTTACACCTCCTTGTATGGAAAGTTCCATCTGCCCACTGGGCCGGGGCACATACTCTCTGGGGGCTGCACACTCCTGCCCTTCTGAGCTTCCAACCAGCCCCTCTCCCCAGATTCTTGGGTGGAAATGCTGGGGACAGGGAAAGGGGGAGCGCGGATGGGGGGGCCAGCTGCAAATGTGGCGCCTCGCCTGAGCCTTTCGCCAGCTCGCCCCCTCTTCCATCCTGGCCCCGCCCACCCCGTTTTCCTCCTTCAGTCTTGCTGGCACCGAGTCAACATACCAGGGTGGGTTTCTGAGCCTTGCGCCCCTCCTCATTACCCAACACTCTGGGGGACAGGGCCCTCCCCCACACGGCAACGTACCGCAGACTCTCCGCAACACCCCCCTGCACCCACAAACCGACCAGGAAGTCGCCTTTACAGACAGCTCACACCTCCCCTACACTTCCCGAAGCCCCTACCCACCCACCCCCCCCTCCACTTTGGCGGCTCAGGGGAGAGCGCGGGCTGGGCGACGGGGAGCGGGACCCACTGCCCCCCACCCTGGGCCTGCGCCGGCCCCTCTCCCCACCCGGCCGCCCCGCACGCCGCTTACCTGGAAGCCGGCGCAGCTGCCGCCCACCTCCCTGCTGCGTATCGCAAACCGAACAGCGGGCGTTGGCCCTCCTGCCGGACACTCCTCTGCCAGCGCCGCTCTGGCCGGGTCGCGGGGGCCGAATGTGCGACGGGGCAGAACGGGGGGATGGCTTTTTTTTTGGGGGGGGGACTCGTCTGATTGTTTGGGGAGGGCGGGCTGTCTGCGGGCTGGGGCGGGCCAGATGTTGTACTTTTAGGGGGGGAAAGGGTATCGGGAAATGAGGTCAGCTGTTGTATCAAGGATAGAGGGGGGCAGAGATAGTGGGAGACACAGAGAGAACGTGAAAGGGGGGGGCCAAAGAGAGGGCGAGAGGGAGAGAGGACAGAGAGAGGCGGGCAGGCTCGCAGCGGGGGAGAACAGCGCACAGAGAAACAGAAAGCGTATAATTAATCCACTTCGGGACGGCGAGGCGAGAGGGCGGGCGTGGAGGGGGAGGGAGCTGGAGGCGAGGAGCTGGGGGGGGCGGGAGGGAGCCAAGGGCAGGCTGCGGGAGAAGAGAGAGCGGGCGCCGGGACCAGAGGCCGGAGAGGGGACGGGGGGAGCACAGAGAAGCGAGGGCAGCGCGCAACGTCGAGGGCCGGGGAAGGTGCTGAGGGGGGCGGAGTGGAGGGCGTCCCGGGCCGCGGGCGCCCAGCTCGGATTGGGCCGACGGAGCCCTCTGCCGTCGCGAGCCCGGGCCCTGGGAGGGGGGTGGCGGTGGCGGTGGCGGCGCCGAGCCGCTCGGGACGCGGCGAGGAGGGGAGCGGAGGGCCGCGCGCCGGGGAGGGCTGGGGACAGCGCGGGGGATGACAACGCCGGCGGCCTGCGAGCCGGACTGCCTGCGGGGGGGACCGCCTCCTCGGGCGAAGCGGGGAGGGCGTTGAGGTAGATGGAAGAGGAGGCGGCGGGGATCCGCAGGCCCGGCGGAGCGCGGCCCCGCCGACGGCGCCCAAGGCGGGAGTCAGCAGCGTGGCGGCGGGCGGCGACGACGCGGGACCGCCGGCCGGGTGGAGGCGCTGGCGGGCCGAGCGCGGGCGGGCGTGGGCCAGGAGGCGGGGGCGGCCGGAAGGGGGGGGCCGGGGGCCGGCCTGGCCTCACGCAGCTCCGCCGGAGAGCAGGCGAACTGCGGGCGCCAACGCCCGGCTCTTATAGCCGCGCTACCCCGCGGCGCGGCGCCCGCTCGGGCCCCGCTGGCCCCGCGCCCGCGCCAATGGGCGCCCTCCGGGCGCTGGCCCCGCCCTCCGGACCGCCCCCGCAGCTCGAGCAGGGAGGGGGGCCAGGGGCTGGGGGGCCCCGGGTCCGGGGGCGACGGGGGGGGGGCTGTGCGGTGCTCGCGGCAAGATTGGGTTGGGGGCGGGGAGCGGCCGAACGCGCAAGAAATCCCGAGTCTCCGTTCTAAAGTGTTGGGACCCCCTTTCGGGTTCCCGGGAACCGGGGGTTTCTCGGCTTGCGCGCGCCAGGGGCGCGAAGCGAGAAAGGTGGGCGGTGTCCCGGGCCCTAGCGCCGGCCGGGGACTACGCGGCGGGGGCGCCCGATCGAGAGTGAGGGCGCAGGTGGTTCGGCGCCGGATCTGGGGTCCCCGAGTCCCGCGGGGAGCTGTAGGGGAAGGAGGAACTCCCGGGCGCGGGCAGGGCGCGCAGCCGCCACCTGCCCGAGCAGGCGCGGCGCCTGAAGTCGCGGCAGCCGGAGCCCGAGCGCCCCCCGGTGCCGCGCGGGAGCCGGGGTGTAGCCGCGGTGGCGGCTGCCAGGTGCGGTTCCCGGGGAGGGCCGGCCGGGCCAGGTCCGAGCGGGGGCCAGCCGTGGGGCCTGCCGAGGCTGCGCCTGGCCCGGGAGAGAAGAGCAGGGCGGGAAACGGCGCTCAAATCCTACCTGCGTGACCAAACTCACCGGGGTTCGCGTGAGCAGCTCGCCTTTGGGACCCACCCAAAATATCCGGATAATGATTCCCCCGTCCTCAGTGCGTTGGACTTCCGTAGAGTCGGGTTCAGCCCCGGGGGCCACCACGATAATTTGGGGGTCTGGGGAAACCATCTCCTGGAGAGTTTGGACGACGTAAGAAGTCGTGACTTTTACCAAGTCAAAACCACGCACAAGGCCCGGCGCCCCGCCCGGCCCTCGGCGCCGGGGCCACCCGCGCCTCTCCGAGGGGAAGGGGCCGCCGCCGGCGGAAGCCCGTGCAGGCTCGCCCCCTCTCTCCGCCATCAATCACTGCGCCCGCGCTCGGCGCGCGCCTCCCCAAGTCCCTTGACCCGCGGACTTGGAGGCGCTGCGCCGCCCGAACGGGGTGCGCCTCTCCTCGGCGTCCCTCCGACCCAGCGCCCGGCCCTCCCCGCTTTGGGGCCACCGAGGCGCCTTCCTCACGACTGTGATCTTTGAAAGAGCAAACGAAAGCGGCGCAGGTTTCGGGGCGCCGGGTCCCGGAGAGCGCGGCCGCCGAGCCGCAAGCCCTCAGCAGGCTTCCGCGCCCCGTCCTGGTGTCCCCGGCGGCTGCCCGAGGCGGGCGCCAGCCCCGGCGGGACTGTGGTGGGGCGGACCAGGAAGCTGGCCGGGGCCGCGGAGGCGGCGGGGAGCTCACCGCAAAGCTGGAGGCTGGAGGCGGGAGGCGGGAAGCTGCGTCCGCGGGCGCGCGAGGAGCCGAGGCAGCGAGCGAGAGCTGTGCGGCGACGGTGGACGCTGCTGGAGGTGAGCGGGACCCCGGGGGCAGTCCCCAGTGTCCGGGGGCAACGCCCAGTCCGTTGGAAGACCCGGGGACAATGCCCAAATTTGGGGGAAACTGGGGGCAATGCCCAGTCGTTTTCCTGGACGCGGGAGCAGCACTGCCCACGTCCTGGCGGACACGTTGCCGGGCCAAGTGTGCTGGGGAAATAGAGAAATTTCCCAAATCCGAGGAGTTTGGGGGGCCTTCGCAGGAGAGGAACAGAGGCTGAAATCAGTACCCTCCGCTCGCCGGGTTGGAAAAAGTGCAGAGAACTGCCGGCTGGCCGGGAACAATGCCCAGATATGGGGGACGCAAGTCAGAGCTCTGTCTGGTTTGCGGCTCAAAGCACGAGTGTCCCGACGCAGGAGACCCGAGGGAGGCCCCGTTGGTGTGGGGAACTGTAATCAGTGACTATATTTGAGACTCAGGATCCAGGGTCCAACTTTGGAGGACCAGGGGACATTGCTCAGTGCAAAGGGTGTGGGGGAGGGAACAAGAAATCCAATTCTAAAATAAGGGGGACCCAGCCTCTTGGTCACCAAGCTGAGGGAGAACCCCAGACCGATTTGTGGAAGATAGGTTTGGGGTGACTCGGGAAAATTCTCAGCATGAAAAAAGTGGAGGGGGGACACTCAGAGACACATTATCTGAAATTGGGGGAAGAGAAACACTGAACCCATTCTGGGGACCTAGGCGAAATTCCAGTGTGGTGGAGGGAAGTAAAGACTGACTTCCACAATTTAGAAATACAAAACTAGTGACCTGAAAGCTGTGCGGCCAAGGGAGTAACCTCCTTACATGTGGCTCTGGGGCCAATTCCCAGTGTCCTTTCGAAACTCAAGAAACACTGTCTAAACTTGGGGGGAACCTGGGGTGTGATCAGCACATTTGGGAAATGCAGAAAAATCCATGTCTGCTTATACTTTAATTTTTAACTGGTTTCAATTGGTTTGTTTTTGGTGAGCAGGAAAAAATATCCTGTCTGCTTGGTCACTGTCTGCATTTGGGAAACCCTAGCAAAACATGTCCCCAGTTTTGGGGATCCATGGGAATCATCTAATGGAGGCAGATGTCGAAACCTCAGGAACCCAGGGTAATAGCCAGGAAGCTTATAGGACACAGGCCCATAAGACCTAGGGTTTCTAGGATATTTTTTGATCCCTGGACATTATCATGTGGGAGGGGTATGCAAAGTTACCTAAATTTGAGGAGACTTGGGGAGCAAGGGTCACAAAATCAGGGGGTCCAAAAATCTATGTTCAAAAAAAGTTGTTTTGTGGCGGTGGGGGAAGTCCCAATTTATTTGGAGGACTGGGAGACATGCCTCAATTTGGAGGTCCCAGGAAACTAATTTTTTAATCTGGGGGTCCAGGGAAGTTGTTCAGAGTCCTCGGGAAAATTGGGGGTCAGTCTCTAAGTTTTAGGGGAAAAGGATTAAGAGTTCATAGGTCGTGAGGCCTGGAGAATCAGGGTCTCTGGTGATCTGCAGGGAGCTTGTAGTGTGTGTGAGACCCAGGAAATGTTGCTTACATTTTGGGTGACTTTGCGGGTGTGCAGAACGGTCTGGAGTCCAAGAGATCAGTGCCTTTCTGTGACCCGAGTGTAGTACTGACCGTGTTTTCGGGCTTGGAGGGCAACGCGTGTACTGGAGAGAGCTCAGCATGTTCAAATAGAAGGGATCAGGAAAAGGGTCCAGTGTCATCCTGGGGCTTGAGATCACTGCCTGAATTTCAGAAAATCCGGATTTTTGTCAGTAAGCCAGTGAGACACAGGGAACGTTTTAATACTCAAAATGTTATGGTAAAGAGAACATGTTCTGAATATCGGGTTACTGGGGACACCCAGCAGAGCCTGGTGTAGGGAGACATACGTAGGCTTTGTGCAAGGGTTTGTTTCCTGCGTGGTGCGACCCAGGAGAATCTGCCCAACCCACGGGGCCACAAGGACGCCCAACTCAATGATCGCCCCGTGTGCTTTCCGGGGCTCGGCGGTGACAGTGTCTAACCCGTCTGGGACCTGACTGGTGGCGGGAAGCTTGGAGAGTCCTCTTAAGGAGAGCGCCCGAATGGTCATGCTCCCCCAACACACAAATATTGCTCAATGAAATCTGGGGTTCAGAAATCATCCTCTCTACTTTGTGGAAGTCAGGAAACCAGAGCTCAGGCCATTTAGGGTTCAGACAGGGGCCTGGTGTGCGCTGGGCGCAATGCCTCAACTTCGGTGAAGGAATAGGAAGCCACGTTCAGGCTCTGAGGGTTTTGGGGAAATTGCTTCGTGTGCTGGGGGAACTGGGAGTCTTTGCGTAAAATTTAGGGACCCCTCGGGCTGGTGTCGGTAATTTGTGGAGCCCCGGCAGACAGTGTCCTAAACTGCGGTGGGCCAGAACAGAGCTTCCCAGCAGGGGAGCAGAGCAGGGACAAGGAGTCTTGCCCGGGAGACTCTGCAGTTCCTGTTCAAAATTATGGAGGCTCAGGGAAAAAGCCCCACTTGCTTTGGGGAGGGCACCCAAGTGCCAGGAAAACCCCGTCCGCCTCTGGGGAACCAGGCAGATCGGTCAGCGTGGCCACAGGACCCGGGCTTAACGCTGCAGCTGTAGAGGACACCGGCTGGGCGGCGTGCAAGTCCGGGGTACATGCGGCAGTTGAGAGCCTGGGAGAAAATGCCCAATGAGTCTGGGGACCCGGGCCACTAGGTGAATCTGGGGAAACCAGCAGGGGCTTGCGTCTCTCGAGGTCCCCGGAAACGGATGTCCAAGAAAATTCTTGTGGTCTGGGGAAATGCTGGATGTGTCTGGAGGACCTGGGAGCAAGCCTTAGATTCGGAGGATCCCCGGAAAAGTACCGCCCGCGTTGGGTGGGAGCAGGGAGGTCGCCGGCCAGGCTGGGACCCCTGGAGGCGGAGGGCTGCGCGGGAGTGGCGGGGCTCCCGGGGCTGGGGACGCGCCGCCGCCGCCGCTCCCCAGCGCCTGGGGTCTCGCGCGCGGAGCAGTGGCGCCCTCCCCGGGGGACTCGGGGCGCGGGCAGGTAGCGCCGGGCTCCCTGGGCGCGCGCCCCGGAAGGAATGTCGCCGCTCTTTCTCTGGCCTTCTGGCCGCCGTGAGCGCGCGTGCGGCGGCAGCTGGGGCCGAGCAGGCGTGCGGAGGGAGGGAGGAACCCGGGAGCCGCGAGGGAGAGACTTGGGCGCGGCGCCCCGGCGCTCCCGGGGCTCCCGGCTCCCTGCTCCGCCGCCTCCGAGGACGGCCCCGCGCTCCCCGCCGCCGCCGCGCCCCACGCGCTCCCGCGCTGCGAGCCTAGGCGAAGCCGCGGCCGGGCGGCC